AGCCCCCCCCCCCCCACAGGACCACCTCAGAAGGGCAGGGTGCCCCCCTCCTTGGCTCTGGTATCCATCTCCCCACGCCTGACGCACACCGAGGGCCCATGTGAGACGCTGCCACTGTGGGCAGAGGTTTCATCCCTCTCCCCCTACCTTCAGCTGCTCCAGGCTCCACCATTTTTGGTAAAAAACGGGGCTCTAGGTGGGGACCCGACCCCAGACTTCCATTTCAAGCAGCTTCCCTATGGTCCACCTGCACACTTTACGCTGCTCCTGCGAGAGCCCGGAGCGAGAGCTGGAGGAGAGAAGATTTATTTTAGCTTCAGTTTCCTCTTTCCTCCCCCTTTAGAAAGAAGAAACAAAGGCCCAGAGGTATGTTATATTAATTTATTTGGGACACACCAAAAAAGGAAAGTCAACAACTGTTAACGTACAAAAGTACAGAATCTTGGGACAAGATTTACTGTCCTGATTAAAAAGGCACCATGGTCCCAAAGAAGAGTAATCAGAATACATCATTTAGAAATTTTCCCCCTGTTGCAGCAGAAACAGAGCCAGGCTTTGGCTCTATCCACAGTCAAACCCAGTTAAAAAAACCCTATGATTTAAATGCGATAAACACTGCTCAGCCTGTACAAGATGTGAAAAAATAACAGCCTAAAAGATGGTCAGACTTTTTTTTTTTCTTTTCTTTTTTAAAACAGCAAAGGTGACAAACCGCTAAGTATATAACTGAGGAAGACAGCAGACTTGTGACGTCTTCACCTCGACTTTCTGTAAGACACGTCAGTTAAACTGAAACCAGTAGGCTGAGTGCGGGGCTTCTGGATGAAATGTGATTCCCTGTGGCAGACAGGAAGTCAGATTCGACAACCTTGAATTCCCTGAATCCCTGAAAATCATAAAAGCACTGCACAGCTGTGTTCCATATTCGAGTCAACCCTGGTGGATTTGCTTTACACACGAGCATTTATACTGTCAGCTGTATTGGTAATACAAAGGGGGTTTTACAGCAGTTATTAAAAAAATTCTATTTCGGCGAGGTCCGAGCTTGGCTATATTCCCTGCTGAAACAGAGCTGCTGGTGTAAAAGCCCAGTGAGAGGCTCAAGTCCAGCACCTCAGGGCTGGAAGGCAAATAGTTTAAACGTGACGTAATTTGCACGGGGAAGTCAGTGAAGCACGTCAGAGAGAGGAGGAGAGAGAGGGCTGCAAACTCTCTGAGCAGCAGGAGGCCGAATGGTGTTGCAGAACGTGGGTATGTGCTACCAAACGCGGTAAGGACACTACGAGTGAGGCGGAATACACTGAGCTCACTACATATTTTGGAGCAACTTACCATGGAGAGCTTCTCACAGACACAGAACAAGGATCCCGGCAATTACTAACGAGCAAGGTCGCTGGGAAGCCGATGCATCGCTCGGAGCCGGACAGATGTGTCTGCAGGCAGAGGGACGGAGGAGGTATGCCGGAGCCGCCTGAGCAGCGCGGCAGATCGCTAGCTCTGCTGCATCCCCGTCGGACCAGAAGCTAATCTGCGTTTCACTCCTCCTTTGGCATAGGACTTCAAAGCAGTCCAAGAACTGATTCATCAAAAGTAACAGGAACTGTCAAAATTATTTGTACATGCATTTATTGTTAAAGGGAGCAAAAGCCAAAGAACGAAACAGCATGAGTTAATGTCAGTAAAATGATGTGCAGGGCTGAAAGAAATGGGGAAAAGCTGAGATACTGGAGTGGGGAAACCAACGTTCACACTGAAAGGTAAATTTGAAAACTAGGCAAGTTTGCGCTCTTTCTACCAGAGAACTTCTGTGGACAAAGAGACTTGGGGTTTTTAATTTTCAGTGTAGTCTGGCAAGGTTTGGGAATCTCACCAGAGAGATCTCCAGCACGGGGTTTCACTGAAAGTTCACGTCTCTCATCTTTAAAAACCAGTAAAGCAACTCTAACTAAAAACAGCAGATACCCTTGTACCACGGGTATCCAAAATCACGGACGTCTCACTGCTCAGGAAGTACGCAGGCAAGAGGGTCACGCTTTGTTCAAACAAACTCCTGGGGGAAAAATCACCGTTTCCACCCTGCTGGTCTGCTGCAGGGACCGTGAGGGGTGGAAAAGTGAGCCCAGAGTCAGGTGCCCTGTGCTGTCGATACCTCAGCTACCCGCACCTGGGAAGGCTTTTTCTTCCCTATATCCTAAGAAGGCAGGATAACAGTTTATATAATTATTTCCATCTTAAAACTAAATAATGCAATTTGCATCCTTACCCCCCCAGAAGACAAAACGTTACCACTTCATTTAGGATTCACAACTCAGATCCTCGATTAGGGACTTCACGTTAAAAGTCATCCAATCACGGGGAGGTATGTCCTGATCAAGGAAACATAATTAAAATAGAATCTAGAATAAAACAATCAGAATCAACAACGCCTTTACAGCCAAAGCACTCAAATGTCTCCTGATCTCTCTCTCCCCTTCCTTGAGCAAGAGAGCAATCCCTTCACAAAACCACAGGGTGCCTCTCCAGGACTGGTCTGAAAAGCAGCTTCCTTCCTCGCAGAACCACCAAGTTCTGCTGAAAGGGGCCGAGCACCCTTTCGCTCCCACCAAAACCAGCAGGAGTCAGAAAATTTGTGTGCTGAAAAGCCCTATTAGCAAGTCCAAGTTATTTCCCCGCAGTAAATCCGAGTCCTGTTTCGTACTGTTAGGCCACCACTGGCTCAGAAACGGTGAGAGACTTCCAAAAACCCACTTGAAGCAGACAGGACCTTGGAGGAAGAGGCTTATATGCTACGGAACCTTAGATCATCTGCTATGTTTGAGCCTTTGCATTGTTAGCCACTGGCTACTTATCCTTCCAAATTCATGTGTTTTAGTCCTTGCTGCTGTTGTCGCCACCCCAGCGCTCTTCCCTGGAGGCAGGATGTTCCCGAGCTCTGGCTTGGGGACCTACAACAATCACTTCCAATTGACGGTGGGATTTCAAACTTGCCTAACGTGTGCATTGCCACCTCGTACTCCAGCAGCTCTGCCTGCCCACTGCGGCATGCGCTAGCAGTTTTTGACCTTCTCCACAGTCTCGTAGAACCCAGGCCTGACTCTCCTGATGCTCATCCGTATATGCTCGCTCTCCAGGGGCATGTCGGCACCCGCGGGATTCATGGTGCACCGACGCTTCCTTCTGCCCCGCAGCGAAAAGGCCGGAGGCCCGCCGTTCTCCTCCTCTGTGGGGTAGGATTCATCCACGCTCGTGCCTTCGTCTGATTGTTGCTCTTCACTTTTAATTTTCATTTTCTTCGCTTTGTTTCCTTCCTTCTCCTCCCTGGCGAGTTTTCTGAAGTGCTCCAGACACTGTATCTTTTGTCTTCTTTCCATCATTTTCAATTCTTGCTTGTCTGTGAAATCTTCATAGTACATTTTTCTTTCGGTTCTTTGATCTTCGAGAAATTTCCACTCAATGCTAGTCATTTTTATTTCACTGCATTCCTCCAGTTTATTTCTCATCTGCGTGTCTGTACAAAATACATCAAAGAGCTTCTCTGAACTCTCGTTGAATCTGTCTACTCGCTCGGAAAAAGCCTGGTTCTGTCTCTGCTTTCTGGTCTGATACAATCTGGTAAACTCCTCATACATTTTGAGGATAAGTTTCTTTATATTTTGCGTCGCGATGGTGTGCAAGTTGCAAACCAACCAGTGCTCTTGCAGATGCTCAGCAAGCAACTGGGCCGCATCCTCTTTGGAGCGCTGGGCCTGGCCAGCTCTTTTGGGCTGCAGTAAGTACAGCATGTTCTGAATCACATCCTTCTTGGTTGGCAGGATTCCCTGGGCGAAGCCTGAAGACTCTACATACTCAACAGTTCCCAGAGTCTTCCGTGCTCTCACCTCAGTATCCAGTGATTCCATCACTGCTCGTCTGCCTCGCAGTTATGACATAATCTGAAAGACGAGGGGAATAATAAAAAAAAAAAGGAGTAAGTCAAACGAAGCTTGCTTTTTTTCTGCAGGAAAAATAAACAGGATAAGATGTGCCCAGACCAATAAGATCTGGGATTTCACGGTGCACTGTCGCTGTTGGATGGCTGCTGTTAGCCCAGCCCCTTCGAACATCTGCACGCCGCGACTATCTCGCTGCTCTGTGCGGTTCCCAAAGCCTCACACGGGGTGTTTGTTTACAGTAATTAGTTTTTAACGGGGTTTTAGGCTGCACATTGTGAATTACAGCGAATCAAGGCCGCCCGGGACGCCGGGCTCCAGCTCCGGCACGCGCACCCGGGTATGCCCCGGCCCCG